CAGTGCGGAGGAGGTCACAGGGGATGGCGTGGCGCTGTGGGGACCGGTTGCAAGGCGGAGTGAGGTGAGCGGATGGGCACAACGCTGCAGGGAGGAAACGGCGCAGCGAGCATCGAGGTGCGTGGACGGGACAAGCGAATAGGGTCGCTGGGCGAGCGGCGCATGCAGGAGTGGGCGGAGGGAGGCGTCCGTCCGTCCGGACATCTTAATTGTATCTTTATCGTTTTCCATAACCCTGGTGAAGTCTCTTTGCAAAGTTGTCCTGCAACCTACTCCCTCCGTCTCAAAATAAATCTCCATCTCATATTTCTAGAAGTCAAACAATCCAAACTTTGACAAAATATATATTAAAAATATTAATATATGTGATACTATTTTCTATAAATATAGTCAAAATTAAGATTGGTTGACTCCTTGATATGCGAGATGGAGACTTATATTGGGACGGATGGAGTATTAAAGAATGAATTTAACAATTCCAGTTCCAAATGAAATGTAAATCTTTTTTATGAATCAATTGATTTTAAATTTAACTAGATTTATAGAAAAACAAAATAACATTTGTATCTCTAAATAAGTTAAGAATATATATTTCATGTTACCTATCATAAATATTAGTTATATTTTATACATTTAATTAGATATGAGATTAATTAACACATCGAGAAATGAGATTTATAATCACTCTGGAGCATAACAATAAGGTTAGTTTCCTCGCAGTGGTAACATCATCGTCATCATCCCATGAGGCCATGATCCACTACTAGTTGAAGCACCTAGCCATGAAGCCATGCTGGTTGGTGAGGTGGCGGGGCCACTCAAAACAAAAAAGATTTAATTATCGAGAAAAATGATTTGCAGATCATGAGGCGCGCATCATGGATCCGTTCGAGCAAAGGGCTGGCGCTTACAATGATACAGTCTATTCCACATAGCGCGCTAGCAGGCTAGCAATAAGGTACCGTAACCATCAGTTATTGTTTGTCTATGGACTGTTCACCAGTTTTTTATAGAAAAAAATCTTACATGTTATTGCTATAAACCTAAATCCTTTATCCGTTGCCTTAAAAACATGCTTCTCATATTGTCACTGGTGTTAACCTATAATTCCTTCCATATCAAAGTCACCGGGGCCAATTGCATTTCTGCCCTCGTTTTCACATCTAACTGCATGTTTGCTCTTCTTTTTGGAATTTACAGATTTGCTCTTACTTTCTGAATTTGAGTGTTCATGTTGCCCTCATTCGGTAAGACTAATGGTGTGTGTTAGAGGCCACAAAGACATATATGACCTTGGCATGAATGACCCTATGATCATACGTTTTTTATACCTGGATATGAAAAAAATGGTAGAATATATTTTCCGGTTAAATGACAATGGCATCATACATTTGATATATTAAACAACTGTCAAATATATCTTCCAGGTAAATGACAATAGTCACATCTAAGTAGACCAAAATAATGGGACTAAATGCTAAATCATTAATCCTAAATCTTCCAATAAACCGAAACAAACCTATACTTGCATAAAAGTTAAAGAGTTTACACAATCACCAAGGAAGCAACTCCACCATCGTTATGTCAGAGAAGCTCACGACGCCGCTCGCCGGAGCTTGCCGTCCAGTGGAGCAAACCACTGTGTTGCCTACCCACACAGATTGTTGCGCTGGTCGCCCGCCCGCCGGCGCAGCTCGCAATGCCGGTCTCGTGCCTGCGCCGCTCACGAAAACTCTCTGCCCCGTCTATCGTGCTGCTAGGCCACGGTGCCACCCGCCCGCGTCGTGAGATGTGATGGCAGACCTCTCCTCCAGTCCATGCGTCCACCGTTCAGGGAGTCTAGATATGATCCAGACGTGAGAAGAAAATAGACGGATGGTCTCGAGGATAAGGCAGGGGTATTAAAATTATTTGGACTACCATTTTCATTTCTTTTTTTTTTCCATTAAATTGCTTCGGGCGACACTTTGTAGAAGTAGGGGTAAACGGAAGTTTGGAAGTTAGAAAAATGAGGGCAAATCTGCAAAGTCTAAAAAGAAGGGGCAATGTGCAATTAGATGTCAAAATGAGGGCAGGAACACAATTTGCCCACCCAAGTAATTGCTAGTATCTACGCATATGAATATCTAGATGCCGGTGTCGTTTCTGCTGGTCATCCTCTAATCACGGACGACCTTTGAACTGGGTTGACTTGAGTTGAGCCGATGGAAATTGACGAAAATAATCTCTCTGTCTTAGAGTACTCCGTACCGGAAAGAATGAAACCTGGCTTGTCTAGAAGTAACAATTTTAAGTTTAATTAAACATTTTTAAAAAGTAATAATAATATTTGTATGAGTAGAGTAACTGCGACTGCAGATTCCCAGATGCACATGCCGATCCGATCGAGAGCTGAGAGCAAAGAGAAAGCACTGCGAAACATTTGCTTGCCGAAGCCGCAAACTGCAACAATGGCCATGGGCTGGCCAGGCTGCTGGCATCGGCCGCTGGGCACACGCTGCGAGTACAGATTGTGCTGTGGGTGCGACTGTGAGAAGGGCGTCGGCGACACGGCGTCGGTGTGATCCCTGCTCCTGCCGATGCAGACCGCCGGCACTCTTGGCCCGTGGCCCAGCCGGCGTCCGCATCACGGAGTCGCTTCGACCGCCGCTTTGACTAATCGATCCACTCCTGCCCCTGCCTGCCAGCGGCGCAGACGTCCGCTGCGGGGACACGAGTGTCAGGAGCGAGGAAAAAGACTGACGCGCTAGCGGGTGTTGTCACCTGCCCGACTTGTCTTCTCCCTTTTTTTCCCCTTTTTTTCGCATCGCCTTCGCCTCGCCTGTGTGTGGATCCGTCGGCCAGACACACGCGGAGCTCTTCTCGGCTCGACGCGACGACGCCTATCTCTACAGTCTCCTGCCCTCCGCCTTGTCCGTATCCCGTCGCCATTACTCTTATAGGAACAGTATTCCCTCCCACGTTAGTCGTCACGATTTACGTACCGATAACTTTGACTCGATTTATAGAAAATACGTGCAACATTTTTATCTCTAAATAAATTTATTAAAAAACTAAATTCAAATATTTATCGAATGATACTAATTATGTATCATAAATATTAATATTTTTTAATATATATTTAATCAAAGTTGTTTCTCGAAAAATGAAAACGAGACATTTAGGGACGGAGGGAATATCAGCCTGTTCGGTTGGCTGGTTCGTTTCGTTGCTGGTTCGTGAAGAAGTACTGCTGGTTGGTTTATGTGAGAGAAAAATATTGTTCCGGCTAGAAATTTACGATCGTTTACGACAAGCCACAGCCAAACGAACAGACTGTATATCCTTGGCCTTGTTTAGATTGCAAGTTTTTTACTCTCTCCATCACATCAAATCTTTGGACATATGCATGGAGTATTAAATATAGATAAAAAAATAACTAATTACACAGTTTGATTGTAAATTACGAGACGAATCTTTTGAGCCTAGTTAGACCATGATTAGACAATAATTGTCAAATACAAACGAAAATGTTACAGTGTCAAATACTGATTTCTAACCCCAATCCAAATAAGCCCTTGTCTTTTGTTACAGTACGCATGAAAAACACAGCGCCATAATTTGAGCATGACTACGTCGTGATAGTCATGGAGAGAGAGACAGACGAGTTTCTGCCCCTGTCGGTGGTCCGACAGTGATCTTTCCCCGCCCATTCATGTTTTTTTTAAAAAATTCTTTCGACTTTTGTTGCTTTTCGGGACTCCTGTAGTACTGCCTCCGTTTCTTAAAGCAACTCGTTTTAAGGTTGTCTTAAGTCAAACATTTTAAACTTTAACTACAAATAACTTCTTTTGTGTTGAGTTTGAAAATATGAAAGTGATATAAGTAGATTCATCTTGAAATGTAGTTTCATAAAAGTATATATTGACTATATTTTATAAATATTTTATAACAAAAAGTTACAGTCAAAGTCATTTTTTAAAGACCGTATCGATGTCCAAAACGACTTGCTTTAGAGAACCGGAGGGAGTATATGTTTTTGAAGCTTTTGACCGGCCACTGCCAGCCCGTTCGTTGGTTGGTTTCAGCCAGCCCAAACCAGCCAGTCAACAGTATTTTCCTCTCACAAAAAACCAGCATCAATCAGCTCAAACCAGCACCAGCACCAGCACCAGCACCAACATCAACCAGCGAACAAGCCCGTACATATCATACTGAGAAAATATAACAAGGAAACTGAAAAGCCACAAATTTCTCCGCTCTAACCTTATCTTATTTAGCAGCTTTGAGCGTTCGGCCACCGCCTCCGCTCCCGCCGGCACAAAGAAAGGACAAGCAGGCGGCAGCGGAGAAGGCTGCCATCCATTTGCATCGTCCCTCCAATTCCTACTACCTCGTCGGTGAAGCGCGCTGCCTCCTCCTCTGATGCCCAGGCCCGACCTGTCAGCTGTTACGCACACACGGACACACCGAACCAGCTGTCACCATTTTACTGTGCTCTCTCTACTCGGCTGCTCTATTTCCATCCCCATGCGCCGTCGTCCTCGTCCTCGTCCTCGGTCCTTCTTCCTCCGCTTCGCGTCCCGTGCAGAGCCCTGCGCCACCAGAGAAGGTTGCTTCCTTGCTCATTTGGCTTCCCTCGCGACGCGTTCTTCTCTTCCGCGCTACTCTCACGCTACCTCCTCTCACTGACAGTCCGACACCTGCGCCCGCACTTCACACAGCCCCACCTGTCATCCGCAACCCCTGCCTCCGTGAACAGACCGGGTCGCCACCTTCTCTTCAAGGGAGGCCACGCCCACGCTCGACCCTGTTGCCTCCCTGGACCTTCCTCCTCGCGGCGCGTGCCGGGGTGGAGGAGGAGCAGAGGCAGAGGAGCTAGCTGCCGTTGCGTGCCAGCTACTACACCTTTCAGCTCCCGGATCGAAGCACGGGTCGGTTAAAGCACGGGGCCCCGAGCGGCACGGCCTGGCACGGAGACGGGAGGCCGCCTTAGCAGCAGGCGAGGCGGAGGTGGAGGGATGAGCAGCCTCGCCATAGTGGAGAAGAAGCCGCCGCCGTTCCCCGGCGGCGGCTGCACGGGCGGCGTGCTCTTCCACCTCCTCGACTGGCACCGCCGCCTCGCGCGCAAGCGCAGGCTATTCTCCCCGCGGCGCCTCCTCCCCTCCTCCCTCTCCCTCCGCTCCTCCTCCTCCCCACGCAGGCTCCCGTGCCCGCCACCTGCTTCCCCGACGCCGCCGCCGCCGCACCCGGCCGATGATGGGCCCGCCCCGGGCGTCGTCGCGCGCCTCATGGGCCTGGACTCCTGGCCCGCCACCACCGCGCCGCCCAGACCGCAGAAGCAGAGGAAGGTGGAGGCGTCGCGCCCGGACGGCGCCGCCGACTCGGCGGTCGAGCTGGTGCTGCCTACGACCCGGAGCCGTCGCCTTCCCGCGCCCGCGCCGACGACGGCCAGGAGCCACCACGGGGCCGACCTGCCGGCGCGGAGCCCGAGGCGGACCCGGCTCGTGCACGCGGCCGCGGCCAAGCTGCTGGACCAAGGCTCACGGGCAAGCGCCAGGGTGGCCCTCGCGTACGCCTGCTCTTCCCCGCAGCACCGCCGCAAGGATGGCCACGCCGGCGCCTTGCTTCACGGCTCGTCGGGAATGGCCGACGACTTCCTGTCTCGCTCGGACAGCTTGCCCTTGGAGCGTTCCGCGCGGGTACAGGTACAGCCTCCTGGTCTTCCTGCGGAGACAGATTGCGACACCGCTGCTGTCTCGCGTAGGCACGACCATTGCTCCACTAACAATGCCGATGCAGCGATCAGTACCAATACCAGCATGGTAGTGTTGCCTAGAATGGATTTTGGTGATGGAAACAGGAGCAAACGGAGCTCTGGTATGGATGCCAAGCACAGGGAGAGTAGAGTAAGAAATGAGGTGATGCGCACTTGTGCCAGAGTCAGATCGAGTGCTGCTGCCGTTCAAACTGGAGATGAGAGGTTGTTGCGCAAACGGGCAACAGCTACTCGTCCGGAGGTTTCTGGGATTACAGAGTCTGGGGACTTGGCTGGTTCGACGCGCCTAGTTGGACGCGCTCGTGAATTGGTGTCTGCTACTAGGAAGGTTGCACACGGTGGTTCTGGTCCAAGAAGAGAGCTCGTGGGATCGATCAGTGGACAAGGGAGCACGATCCGCAGGGATTTGAACAGCCAAAATGGATTTGCAGCCACAAGTAGGATTTCAAGCAATGGATCTGCGCATAAAAGGGGATCAGGGAGGAAGGTGGGGCATGATAGAGCAACTAGTAACAGAGATGACAGAAATGCAGTTGCATTCACTTCTAGATCATCTACAAAGTCAGTGGCCAGAGCTTCATCGCCGAGCAATCTATCGAAGAGTGGATCCCCAAGTAGACTAGCAACTGATACAACTCGGACACGAGTGCCGGCTCCTGAAAAAGGATATATGGAAGCTTCACCTTCTGTTATGTCTACTTCTGAGAAAGCTGAATTTAACAGGCTGTTGGAAGCAAGAATCAATGAGCTTGGCATGCCGGACAGAATTGAGTGTACACCAGATGGTTCACCTTCAGCAAAATTGAATGCACCTCTGCTGCAAAAGCTCATTTCTGCCCTTACAAACGACATGGGCACTTCAGTCTCCCAATGTAGCAACTACTCTGGTGCATCAGCACCCTTAAGTTGCAATGGAAATGTTGACTGCATCAATCGAAAGCGTTTTATATTCTCCAATGATCAATCACCCGATGTTCGGAAATGCTATCAGGTCAGTTTAGAGGCCAGAACCCTTCTTTACTGTTAGTCTGTTATCACTTATTATTTCAGAGCTTCTGATTTGTTGTTTCTGTAGAAAATGCTGCTATGGTTGATCATGATGATTCACAACTATATATTTTTATTCATGTCATTTTCTTTTCCAATTTGGTTAGTAAATACATGGTGTAGTTTTAGTGCTTGTAGTGTTACATGAACCAACTTGTATGATGGCTACTATTGCTCAAAAAAACATGTACTATATGACGTTCCTATGTGGTAAGGTACTAAGGTTATCAGTGCATGCATCTACTTATACAGTTTGTTAACCAATGTTCTACATGCATTCTTATACATTGAAGATTTCTGGTCCCACACAAAAGATTATATCAAAATATTTCTTATGGCGTTAAATCTGTCATCATTATGAACCATTCTTTAATGAACCTTATACAATTGTCAGATGCATTGGAAATTGTTGTGCAAATGAACGGTTGATCTGCCATCCACATCCTTTTCTTACTTTTATAGAACTTACAATATTTCATGTTTTCTTTATCAACAAAGTTGTTTTTTGTTTAGAGCACTATTGATCTTTTTTTAATTAACCATTTACCAAACTGGTAGCTTCCAGAACAATTTTGTACAAGGTTGATGAATTAACTACTATACTCTTTGGTAACTATTTGGACATCCTCTTTCATTCTATGTACAGGGTGAACAAGATGTTGATTCTTCTGCTACATCATTAAACAATGAGCCTAATCAGCCAAGTCCAACATCAGTCCTTGAAGCATCCTTCTCAAATGATACTTCTTTAGGAAGTCCAGTTGAAAAGAATGGTAAATATTTCTATTACCTTGACTTTTTCTATAGGTACTTGTATTATTTGTTTGTCAGCGTCTGGAGCTATCAAACATATTACTGAAATGTCAAAAGAAACCAAATTCTGCCTAGCACAAAACTGACAAGTGTATCATGTCTTGGATACTGTAGTACCAAATTCAGTGGCATGTTTGTCAGAGCTCAACCATTAAGAAAATTAATGCTGAATTGTGCCAGGTCGAGATGCTTAGTTATTGTCAGTCAGATTATTAATTGTTTTACAATTCGACATTTCTAGCAAAAAAAAAAATGCTTGTAATTGGCTGCTCTAGCCTACCCCAACTTGCTTGGGACTGAAAGGCTATGTTGTTGTTGTTGTTGTTGTTGTAATTGGCTGCTCTGATTAGAGTTGATAGCGTTTAGTCCAGAATTATTATGAGTGGTACAATGGAATTAGCCTGTAAATTTTGGGCAGGTACTGTATAAGTTTTGTTCATGTTATTTTGGTAGCAGTAGCACTTGTGATGTGTTAATGAACTCTATCTTCTTGCTTTCAGAAGGAAAAGACTTTATTGTGTCAATTGAGAACAAGATGGAAGATCTCTTTAATTTGGAGTCTGACATTGTCGATTTAGCAATGTCAGTTGACACAAGGAAAACTGATGCTGAAGAAACACTCCACGGCAATGACAAGTTACCATGTTTACAGAATTTTCTTTCACATGATTTTAATATCTTAGAATCCAGGCTCTGCAGCATTGAAGAAGCTAAATCAAATGCTGAACTGCTTTTGGGCAGTAGCCTCTTGCATAGCACAACATCAGGTCTTCCACGCCGTCCTTTCATTGTTGCAATGCTGGAAAATACTATGGATATGTTTAGTGGAGGAGAGTATTCAGATTTTACTGAAGATAAGAAGTATCAACATACCAACTTCCTATTTGACTGCATTATAGAATCACTGGATTCAAAATTCTGCAATTTTGGCAAATGTGGATACAAGGCTTGGCTGAAGTTGCCTCTCAGTTTGAGCAAAGATCTGTTGAAGCGCCAGGTATTGGAAGATATCACCAACTGGAGGGAGTCAAGTGGGACTGCTCTTAGACAAGTGTCTGACAAAGAAGTGGACCAAGTGACTGACAGGTGGGATGCAAGCCAGGTTGAAGCATTTGATATCAGCATTGCAATCGAGAACGACATTCTTGAGGCGCTTGTTTGTGAGTTCGCAGTTGACCTTTGGTGAAACGGCGTATTGACTGCTCTATGTGAGATATTGACATGTTTGGACTTTGCTCGCATGATTATGGATAAATAAGATACTGCGGATATGTTTGTTTTTTTTCTCTGCAGTAAATTTTGTACAAAGTCATGTAAGGTTGAAGGGCCTCCCGGTTATTTTGCCCTTTGTATGTTCTACTAATGGAAACGTGCTAAAGCTTAAAAGTGTCTCCTAATCTTTGTGGCCTTTTCGTCGCTCCCCTTTTTACCCAACTGATAACATTGTACGCCAGGGTACATTTTGTTGTGTGTGATGAAAAAGTCACCTTTTGCTGGATCTAGTGCTAAGCAAAAGCATGAATTGGAAGACCGTTAGTTTGCCCATGTTCTGCATTAGGATCCCACTCTGAATCTCGATGCAACCAGGAGAATTCAAAATCAACATGTTCGACCTTTTTGGCATGGTGATTGCAAAATGAAATAGTACCAGTTTACCACTAATTGAATCGGAAATGTTTTTTTTTTACATTTATATATATATTCCTGGGCTTGTACAGCTTGTCAGCTTGTCAACTGTCCGGTCAAGTGGAGGATAACTTGGCAGGAAACAGGCAAAAATTAGAGAACAAATCAGCGCCAGTTCTCGAAGCAGTACTCTGTCAAAAAGGCATTCCTCGATTAGCTTAATTTATCCAGGATACGAGACAGCTGACCGCCAATTGTTCTTCGACTTGTTATCCCCACATTATATATATATGCTATGCTGATCATTTTCCATGATTTGCTCTTGCTCTGGTACCTACTCTGGCCGGTGGCCGCTCCTTTCCAAATTCCAATTCCGAATTAAAGAATCCATGAACACGAATTTGAATCCGAAACTACCATTTGTGTCCATAGAAACAGGTACTAGCACGCATTGATTTGTAATAATTGTACAAACTCAAAACACTACAAAAATGAACATTGCAACACAAAGGATGGATTATAGGTAAATACTAAAATTAAGACTACAGCAGGGGAGACGAATGTCTCACCCCACAGACTCGAACAACAGAATTATCACATGATAAAAAGCAACGGTAACATTCGAACGATGCAAATGCAAGACACGAAGAGATTAACCGAACTGCAGCTAAGATAGCAGCGACAATCAACTGATTCTACCCAGATCGAAAAGGAAGCAGTAGGTAGCAACGGACGAAACGAGAAGGTGCCTAGAGCCGGCGCTGGACCAGCGAGCGCTGCCTCTGCAGCCTCATCTCCTCGTAGAACCGCTGGATGAAGCGCTCGGCGCGGCCGTCCACCTCCTCGTCCCCTTCCTCCCCGTAGTCCACCACCACCTCCTCCTCATCCTCCTCCTCGTCGTCGTTGTAGGCGTAGGCATCGTCGTCGCGCTCGCGGCCCCAATCCAGAGCCGGGGCGAGCACCAGCTGGTCCCTGTCCCCGCGCCCTTCGGCATCGCCGCCCCGACGAGCCTGCAGGCCGTCGAGCACGGCGACGTCGAGCTCGTCGGCGCCGCAGAAGAGGGAGGCGAGGATGACCCTGGCCCTGCTCCGGCGCCTCTTGGAGGCGGCCCTGGCCCTCCGCCAGGCCGTGACGCCGGGGGGCGCCGGCGGCGCCGAGAGGAGTGGGGAGCGGGAGGGCGAGAACTGGTACTCCCCCACGTAGGCGTAGTTGTAGTGGCGGAACGGCTTGTAGTTGTAGCAGCGTAGCCTGGCGGCGGCGGACGCGGAGGACGCGCGCTTCTTGAAGAGGAGCAGGCCCAGCTTGGCCTTGGAGATCGGGGTCAGCGGCAGCGCCAGGATGGCCGCCATCGCCCTCCCCAGGATGGGCTTGGAGCCCGAGCCGGAGCCGGGGGTGGAGGATCTCGGCATGGCCGGCGACGGCGACGGCGACGAATAGATTGATAGCTGGGCGGCAGTTTCCCTCTCTTTCTCACATTCCAAATAACGGCGGATCGAGTTGGTTGCTGCGAGAGTGCGAGTGGTGGTGTGGGGGGTTTTATGGTGGGTGGTGGGGCTTGGGGTGCAGCGGCAGCGGCACGGCTCCTGTGCAGCCGCTGCCCTGTGCCCCTGCCGCTGCCGCTGGCTGGATCGTGCGTACAAGAAAGCTATAGTAGCAGGCAGAGTAATGTATCGTGGTGGTGCGCCTTTAGCGGTAGTGCTGCTACTACTCCCTTTTCGGTTTACATCAGCTCGTTAATGGCTACCGGGATCGGGGTTAATTCGCATTGAAATGGTGTTTTTGTTGGATCCGGATATGCACATCATGGGTAGATTTATAAACCACGATCTGTATATTGATGGGCTACGTGTTTGTGCTACCAGTATACGTACATTATACAATTCCCACTGGGTCAGTCAGTCAGTCAGATTGCGAGTGCTGATCTAGCCAATGAACGCGAGAAATCTGCTTCCCCGGTACAGTATCTAGGACCTAGCTACTTGTTGGGCATTGGCGTACCGGGTGCAGGCGATCGCGATCTCGTAGCATCGCCGCATTCATATTTTTAGCGAAGCACTGGTGATCCTACTCGCACCGGGTAACTGCTCTGCTTTCCAATCGCCACGGCGTACGCGTTCCTAGCAAATAGCCTCGTCACGTCAAGCTGTTTTCAACACTCTGCTCGTATACCGCGTAGGCCTTTTCGCCGACCCTTGCACGGGATGGACCGCTGGTGTGGTCCGTCATTAGCACAACGGCGAAAAATCGTTGATCCACACATGATTATCATTATCATACGGTGTACGTAGCCGGAGCAAGTGTGTGTGGCGGCAGTAGGAACCGACAAACAAATCGTCGTGGCGGCGTAACTGGCCCGCCTTGTGCTGTGGGTGCGGGCCTGGCCCCGGTACCCGAGCAAATCACACCGATGGCGACCGACTGGTCACTGGAGCACGCGCCAGCGCCACCCCCGCGGCCCGCGCGCTCGATTGACTTGCCGTGGTGGAGTGGTGGAGACGAGTGGTGGTGCGTGGCGTGGTGGACTGGTGTCCGGTGGTGGGGTTCGCAGCTGGACCTGGAGCTGGAAAGCGCTCGCTGAGGGCGGTGGTTTTGTCGGATCAGTGGCGACTGGCAAGCCCGAGCCGTCCGTGCCGTCTCTGCCTCTGAGCTGGCGGGCGGGCCCTTTTCGCTCTTCGAACCGAGCTAGCCGTTGCCTCCCCCTTTCCGTTTCCGAGTCTGAGCCAGCCACCCACGTTTGGCGTCAGTGCGTCACGTCCTCTCCGGGCCTGCAACGCGCGAGTCCGCGACGCACGCAGCCTCCCCTCCGCACAGGGACTCGGCGCGTGAGCGCATGGGTGCTCTGCTCCCACAGTTTTTCCACCCTTCCCAGGTTCTCCCAGCCGGTCTGACGCTGTTGTTATCCTAGATCACAGTACTTCTCCAAATTTCCCAGCGGTTTGGTAGATTCGGCATTCATTTCCGTTCGTGGGCCCAGTGGCCCACTAGTTAGTTGAACTTCAGATTAAGCTACTCACCATTTTCACAATACTTGTTATTTTTGAATTCATCTTCTTTTTTTCAAAAATAACTTAACATTCTCACATTCTAAAGCATCATTAACTTGCTATCCTTGATCAATATAGCCCCAACAGCCAATCACATCCCCTTATCCAAAGGCACAAGCCGATGGATTGCAATTTTAATACTTAATGGTGAGAGAATATTTTTCACTTTAACGCTCCTTATTTTGTGTGAGATTAGCTAGAACAATATTGTGAAATAGAGGGAGTATTGTACTCTCATAACGTATGGAGGCATTGAATTTTTTCAAAGAAATAATTTTTGTAATACATATATACTACCTCTATCGCTAAATAAATCAATTTCTAAAGTTATCTTAAGCCAAACATTTTTATGTTTAGCCAAATTTATAAAAAAAGTACAAACATTTGTGACACCAAATAAGCATATTATGAAAATACGGTTTATGTTGTATCTAATAATACTAATTTCATGTCACAAATCCTGGTGTTCTTTTCTATAAATTCGATCAAACTTACAAAAAAGATTGACTTAAGAAAACTCTAAAAAAATGGTTTAAGTGTTCTATTACTATACGTAATAATACTATCAAGATAACTGATTCTCATCCACCGTGCCTCAAAAAAGTGGGACCAAACTATTGAGTTTAATGCTAAACTGTTTGATTTTGTGTCAAAACTATATCATCAATTCATCATGGTGATACACCTTCACTCTCTCCACCGTAACGACCGATCATATAAATTATGGCCCTAAGGATAATGAGGACCTCGATATTCATAATATGACAACTAGGGATTATTAGCCTGTTCGGGAGGCTGTAAACGATCGTGGATTATTTACTGCTGACTGATTTGGTGTGAGAGAAAAACACTATTACGGCTGAAAATTTAGATCGTTTACGACCAAGCGAACAGGCTGTATATCAAAAACATGAATTATGGTTAGATATACCTGAATAGATAGTCCATGGCGCATGGATTGATGTAGTATATGATGCAGACGAATGAGGTGACCGCCAGTGATGCTCATGCATGTCTTTTCTTGGTGATGAAGAATTCTTCCTTTGATATTGCCTTGCCTGATTGTTTTGCTTTTGCATGGCTATCTACTGGTATTTTGATAAAAGCTCCTCGAAACATGGCTTCGTCTTCACCTTACTCTTTAATTTGAAACCCTCTTCAGTTTTTTTAGAAAAATCGCCCAAGCTAATTTTGGGATCGTCTAGGCTAGTTTCTATTGCACCTACAATTTTGCTCCTATCTTGCCCCTAGCCAAACTTGATTGTTATTCAGCTATGTTTTCTGAAACATGCCACTAGTATAGAAACAAGCTGTACTCCTGGTTGGGAAACCCCTTCAATCCCGGTTTCTTAACCGAGAGCACGAATCCGGGACTAAAATGCTCCTCCTTTAGTCCCAGTTTCTCGCCCTTGGTAATATCAACCGGGGCTAAAGAGGCCTCCCGGCCTGGCCACGTGGGCCAGTCCAACCGGGACTAAAGATTTTCTTTTTTGTTATAAATGTTATAATATGGTAG